TAACTTGGGGGGCAACTTTCCCCTCTCCCCCTCCCCTTGGCCGCCACCCTAGATGGGATTGGGCTGGCCGCCGCCCCTAGGGGTGAAACCCTAGGTGGGGGCGCAGCCCCCCTCTCCCCCTATATATACTTGAGGGTTTTTGGGGCTGCTAACAGATGAGTTTGACCTCTCCTTGGCGCAGCCCTACCTCTCTCCCTTCTCCTCTCCCGCGGTGCTTGGCGAAGCCCTGCAGGATTGCCACGCTCCTCCACCACCACCACGCCGTTGTGCTGCTGCGGGATGGAGTCTTCCTCAACCTCTCCCTCTCTCCTTGCTGGATCAAGGCGTGGGAGACGTCACCGGGCTGTACGTGTCCGTTCGGCACTAGGATCTCCGGTGATTTGGATCACGACGAGTACGACTCCTTCAACCCCGTTCTCTTGAACGCTTCCGCTAAGCGATCTACAAGGGTATGTAGATGCACTCTCCTTCCCCTCGTTGCTGGTTTCTCCATAGATAGATCTTGGTGATCCATAGGAAAATTTTGAATTTCTGCTACGTTCCCGAACAAGGTGGCCCCTCCCGGTGGACCCCCGGAACCCCTCCGGTGGCCCCGGTACAATACCGATAAGTCCACGAACTTTTCCGATGACCATATGACAACTTCCCATATATAAATCTTCACCTCCGGACCATTCCGGAACTCCTCGTGACGTCCGGGATCTCATCCGGGACTCCGAACAGCATTCGGTAATCACTCACAAGTCTTCCTAATAACCCTAGCGTCACCAAACCTTAAGTGTGTAGACCCTACGGGTTCGAGAATCAAGCAGACATGACAGAGACAGCTCTCCGGCCAATAACCAACAGCGGGATCTGGATACCCATGGGCTCCTACATGTTCCACGATGATCTCATCGGATGAACCACGATGTCGAGGATTCAAGTAATCCCGTATACAATTCCCTTTGTCAATCGGTACGTTACTTGCCCGAGATTCGATCGTCGGTATCCCAATACCTCGTTCAATCTCGTTACCGGCAAGTCACTTTACTCGTCACGTAATGCATGATCCCGTGACCAACCACTTGGTCACATTGAGCTCATTATGATGATGCATTACCGAGTGGGCCCAGAGATACCTCTCCGTCATACGGAGTGACAAATCCCAGTCTCGATCCGTGTCAACCCAACAGACACTTTCTTAGATACCTGTAGTATACCTTTATAGCCACCCAATTATGTTGTGACGTTTGGTACACCCAAAGCACTCCTACGGTATCCGGGAGTTACACTATCTCATGGTCTAAGGAAATGATACTTGACATTAGAAAAGCTCTAGCAAAGCGAACTACACGATCTTGTGCTATGCTTAGGATTTGGTCTTGTCCATCACATCATTCTCCTAATGATGTGATCCCGTTATCAATGACATCCAATGTTCATAGTCAGGAAACCATGACTATCTATTGATCAACGAGCTAGTCAACTAGAGGCTCACTAGGGACATGTTGTGGTCTATGTATTCACACATGTATTACGATTTCCGGATAACACAATTATAGCATGAATAATAGACAATTATCATGAACATGGAAATATAATAATAATCATTTTATTATTGCATCTAGGGCATATTTCCAACAATTATTTCCAGACACACAAGGGCCTGAGACAAGGTGATCCAATGTCTCCTATTCTGTTCAACATTGTGGTTGACATCTTGGCAATTCTGATAGGAAGGGCAAAGGAGGCCGGTCAGGTGGGTGGCTTGGTGCCTCATATCTAGTTGATGGAGGTGTATCCATCCTCCAGTACGCTGATGATACAATCATCTTTATGGAGCATGACTTGGCAAAAGCGAGAAATATGAAGCTGGTGTTATGCTTAATTGAACAATTGACCGGATTGAAGATCAATTTTCATAAAAGCGAGTTGTTCTGCTTTGGTAGAGCCAATGAGGAACAAGATGCTTATAGGCAATTGTTTGGATGCGAATTGGGGGCGTTACCTTTCATGTACTTAGGTATACCCATTCACCATCGTAAGCTGACAAACAGAGAATGGAAGAGCATCAAAGACCGGTTTGAGAAGAAACTCAGCTGCTGGAAGGGCAAACTCATGTCATATGGAGGACGACTGATCCTTATTAATTCGGTGCTCACGAGTATGCCTATGTTTCTCTTATCTTTCTTCGAAGTCCTAGTTGGTGTTAGGAAAAGGCTGGACTTCTATCGATCCCGGTTCTTCTGGCAGAGTGATGAACTAAAGAGAAAATACCGACTCGCCAAATGGGATATCATTTGTCGACCAAAGGACCAGGGGGCCCTTGGTATTGAGAATCTTGAAGTCAAAACAGATGTCTTCTCAGTAAGTGGCTGTATAAACTTTCGGTTGAATCTGAGGCCACGTGGGCGCAGATTCTACGTAGTAAGTATCTGCAGTCCAAGACGTTGTCCCAGGCGACAGTGAGACCGACAGACTCGCCGTTTTGGAAGGGGCTTATGAGAGTCAAAGCTGCCTTCTTTAATAGAACAAAGTTTATAGTCGGTAATGGTAACACCACTCGCTTCTGGGAGGATACTTGGCTTGGTGAAACGCCGTTAGCGCTTCAGTATCCGTCCCTGTATCATATTGTTCAACGACGTGATGCTCTTGTTGCCACGATTTTGCAGTCCATTCCCCTTAATATTCAGTTTAGGAGGGCGCTTGTGGGCGACCGGTGGGAAGCATGGCTTCATTTGGTGAGTAGACTGATGGAGGTTCAGCTATCTCATCAGCCCGATCAGTTGTGTTGGAAGCTTACTAGGTCGGGAGAGTTCACAGTTAAGTCAATGTATATCGATGTCATTAACTCTAGTGTTATCCCTAGTTCCAAAGAGGTTTGGAAAGTCAAAGTTCCTTTGAAAATTAAAGTGTTTATGTGGTTTGTACATAAACAAGTCATTTTAACAAAGGATAATTTGATTAGGCGCAACTGGACAGGATCTACTAGGTGTAGTTTCTGCGATCGGGATGAAACCATCAAGCACCTCTTCTTTGACTGCCCATTGGCAAAGGTTTTATGGCACACGGTGCATATTGCCTTTAACATTACTCTTCCGAATTCGGTCAGTACGTTATTTGGAACGTGGCTTGTTGGGATAGAGTCCGAAACAGCTAGACACATTCGTGTAGGAGTATGTGCTTTGTTGTGAGCAATTTGGAATTGCAGAAATAATTTGGCTTTTAACAGACGAACAAATATTCATTTTTTGCAGGTTTTATTCCGAGCTACTGCGCTGATCCGTATGTGGTCCTTACTCACTCCGACGGAGGCCAGGAAGCGTTTGGTTACTGAATCTGTCCGGTGGGAGATGGTAGCGCGCGATATCTTCAACCGGTTTGGATGGCGGTCATGTAATAGGATAGACAATTAGTTTACCTATCTTTGTTTTGCCAGCCGGTTGTAGCTTTTGGGCCTTGTGTTTTTGGCGTTGTGGCTCTTTGTGAGCTCGCCGTTATTTTGTTTTCAGACTATACGACCTTGTTAAACAACTTTATTTATCTATTTATGTGGCCGTATGCATCGTTCTGATGCAGAGGCCGAGGAGACCTCCCTTTTCAAAAAAGTAAAATAAAATCAAAGAGCATATATGATGAACTAGTGTCTGCATACATACGTACATCCCAATTTCTCCGTAAACACAAGAGGTTGCGTTGGCCGATCGACGACGGCATGGCCACCGATGGATCGACCGCTCCTGTATCAGATCAGATATATAATTAACATCAGGAATGAGTGAGACCCCTGAGCAAGATGTGCTACGCCACGCCACACATGGAGACGGCGAGGGGAGGGTTGAATCAGAAGGCCGGTGTTACCTGTGTAACTGGAGAGATGCTGTAAATCACAAGGACGGGCAGCGTTAATTACCTGTAAGTGGAGAGATGCAGGGAGAGGGCGGGTGGTGAAGGAAGGAGGAGATCACCGGCGATGAGATCAAACCGCCTCCGCTGCCGAGAGATTTGTCCTTCCGCTCTTCTTTTTTTTTTTGTGAGGAATTTGGTCCTGTCTAAGGAGGAAGAAGACTTGTAGTTTTTTTTTTGGAGCAACGAGAAGACTTGTAGTAGTAGTAGTACTAGTATACATAAGGATTCGTGTTCTCATGTTCCTTTTCCGATTCCGGTTCCGATTCCGATTCCGAAAAGGCCTGGGATGTGTGTCGTGCTGGCAAAATCGGCCGCGCCAGTTGGGTACCACGACGTGTGTAGTAGTACTAGTATAAGGCTTCCTCTTCCTTTACATACTTATACGACAAGCAAAAAGAAGAAGAAATCCATCTAGGTCTCGGCGGCGAAGGAAGTTTGATCTCATCTCCCGCGATCTGCCGATCTCCTCCTTCCTTCATCTCCCTAGCTATCTCGCTCCAGTTACAGTACAGGTAACGCCGTCCTCGTGATTTACTCTATCTCCATGTGTGGCGTGGCGTAGCGCATCTTTGTTCAGGGGTCTCGCAAATTACTGCCGTTGATTTTATATCGCATCTGATGCAGGAGCGGTCGACCCATCGGTGGCCATGTCGCCGATATATGGAGAATTTACCATGTACGTACGCAGTCGTGCAGACACTTGGTCTCACATATGCTAGTAGCTCTTTGATGCAACCTTTGGGGATATCGTGCATGTTTTGATCTGGTATAAAAGAATCAATAATATATATGAGAAGATGCATTCAAGGGGTGCAATGATATAACTAGCCAGTTTGGTGTAGTAATGTAAGATTTTATCTAGAGAACAATATTTTTTTTTTTTGCGGGGATCTAGAGAACACGTACTCTTAATTGTCATGTCCTCTAATAATATTAACTCAAGCAATCTCGTCTACATGTGTCATTAGAACTATTGAGTTCACATCCTAATTTGTATCTGTCTCCATGCATGCAGTAACGACTATGCCGGACTGCAGACATTGGATGATTCCGCTTCAAAGGAGTTTCAGGAGTTCCAGGATTTCTGGCTTGCTTGCGCCCAGCGCCAAATGAGCCTCAGGCCCGCGTCGCCGTCCCATGAGCAGCTGATGAAGCGCAAACAAGAGCGTAATCGCAAGAGTTTGATTATAGCGCTCAACACATATGCCAAGCAAAATAATATGCAGGCATGCCCAAAATATATATCATAATCAAAACATTTATGTTTCCTTGCATTTCGCTTTGCCGCCGTATATGTTAGCGAGTGCTCGACTTATTCTAGAATGAGACTCTTCTTACACGTGTAGTTTGTATTTCAGATTAATGATTTTGAGTTTGTGGAAGAGAAAGAAAGGAATCTGGTTTCTGGAATGCTTGGAGGATATGTGCATTCCAACTTTGTGGTGAAAGGTGTAGATGGCAGACCAACTTTGTTCTTTGCTGAGATGGAGCATGACTGCTTCCAGGAAGAACATGTTGTTCTCTGCACTCCGTTGGAAGACAAGGACTCTGGTAACTATTTCGCTTTCGCCCTAGTTTTCTTGACTTTTTGTTAGCATCTCCTAACATATACTACATATTTTTTTTCTCACATGAAGGTTGTTGTTTCGGGTGCAATAAGCGAGCAAGAAAGCTCAGGCACCCCACATGCGGTGGCTACTTGGGTGGACTCGAGGATGTGCCGTTTCCTTACGTGGAGGAGGATAGTGATGATGAGTGCTTTCTTGAATGAGTCTATATATATGTTTCCAACAAGACAGAGCTGCAAATTTGGTCTAGTCTATATGCTGAGAGTGCGTGAGAAGAAGACGGGTCGGTGATTTGGTAACAGCATGCTGTGACTAGTAGGGGCCGAAGCATATGTACCTTTATTAAGGTTAATAACTAGATGCCTAAAAGAATGTAATGTTAACTAGAATCATGCTTGTGACAATTTTGTTTTGATGGTTTGTTCTAATAAGTTAGAATCACTATTGGAACTTTCGTATATGCTGGGTGTTTGGCTCTTCGCCGAGAGCCAAACCACAGGCACTCGACAAATGTCGATATGCCGAGAGCAACACTCGGCAACTATGGGTTCACGGCAACTAGCTTATGTTACCGACACCGAATCATGACGAACAGAGTATGCCGAGAGCACCACATGGCAAAGAGTAGCCACGTGGCATGCCCGTTCGCAACTGACTGCTCCGTCAGTTTCTTTTATCTATACCGATGGCCTTGAGGAACCGCTCGGTAAAAAACAGCCACAAAAACGTTCTGACCCCTAGACCAAGTTATCAGTGAAATATTCAAATTATTACCGTTCGTTATACCACCATTGACTGATACTCTGACCCTTGTACCCTTGTGTCCCACATGTCAGTGGTACTTTACCGAGTGCTCTCGCCCTCGGAAAAGAATGCCACGGGTGGAGTGCTGGAGAGCCATTCGTCTCCGAGAGACTCCCTCGGAAAAGAATGCCACTACAGTAGTTAAAGTGTCCATGCGACCCGTTTCCGAGAGCCGCACTTGTGAAAGTGAGTGTTTTCAAGTGTTGCTCTCGGAAATATGTCCCATTACTTCTGTTTTGAAGCTGTTTCTTATCTAGTCACTGCAACTGAAAATAACTAGATACATTTTCTATCTATATCTTTAGTGCAGAAAATGTTATCATATCAAATGAATGTGGGAGATAGGAGCTCCCTAGAAACTCCTTGAGAAACACATCACACACATAGGCATAATCTAAACTAGTTCACATAAGCATAACTCAAACTAGTTCACATAGGCCATTGTTTCATACAAGTTCATAGAGCAAAACAATTGCTCGAGCACATTACACACAAGTTGATAGGACCAGTTTTAATTGTAGTCGGATCAATGACTACAACAACGTACAAGCTACCCACCAGGATCAAGTTACCGCCGTTCCATTAGTTCAGGAATTAGTTGAAGTTACATGCATGCATACTATGGTATTAGCAGAGACGCACTCGTTTAGGAAAGAGAAAAATAAGATGTTGGACGTGGTGCATGCATTACGTGAGGAGAGGTACATGTGCGTACAGCCATGCATGCATAAAAAATTTGAAGCCTTGAGTTACGATGGTAGAGCTAACATGGCCAGACACGTCGATGGAGATAATTTGGAAGGATTTAAGTTTGAGTATTACGAGAAGATAGCATCACATTCGTTCAAACGGAAAAGGAGCAGTCGTCGTTGTATACTATTTCTATTTCTGCCATGTAAAGAGTTTGCACGATGAAAGACTTGTAAATTGTTACTTGATAGGTTCTCTTTGTGCGACTTGGGCTAGGGTCCACCTCCATCTAATCAGATCAACATGGCGTACCAGATTTTAGTTTATATAATAAAATTCTGCCGAGATGTAAAAGGCAAATATAGAGTTGTCTAGTTTGTTTACGCATAGTGTTTTCTTGCTTTCTAAGTCTAGGTTTAGTAGGCTATTATATAGAGCCAGGTGCGTCCATGTAAAACGCAGGTTATATTTTGATAATAAACACGATGTGTTTTTAGGGTAGACACCCGTATCGAGTTTTGGGGGAAGCTGTCTAAAAATCCCTAAGTTTTGGAGGCGGCTTTATAAAACCTCTGTTGCGATTTCTGCGAGGAAATTGTTTTGCGCGCGAGTACCGTCGTCGTGATTTGTTTTCTCGTGTTGGACTGTCAGATTCAATCCCTCTATTTTGCGTACATCGCGTGCGTGGGCGAGAGGTTACTGCTGCTGAAGGTGGACTGTCGTGAAAGATTGGGCCGCAACAACAGATCGGATCTCGCCATCGAGGTTCGGTCCATATCAGGTGGTATCAGAGCATCAGGTTGTTCACGACACTATGGAAAAGATGACAAGCACGTCATTATTAAGAAAGCTAAGCTATGGATTTCAGTTGGAGGAGGAAGGCCGTTGGACCGGACTTTTTCATACTCGTATTGTGGTGAGAGAAAGATCATGTGCCATGACGATCGATCACATGAGTTTGATCAACGTTGCAAGCATTGAGATGGTGACAAAGTTGGAGCTACGCACAACACCGCTACCACAACCATACTTATTGCGTTGGGGTAATGGAGATCTCGCTGTCACTCAACAAACGAAGGTACCGTTTTTGTTCGGAAATTTTTTCTGTGAGGTCTTGTGTGACGTGATACCGGTGTCGATGATTTCGTGTCACATATTGTTGGGAGAGCCATGGTATAAGGAATATCGTGCTACATATGACCATCTCACATACATGTATCATACCAATGTGGGTAAGAAGTGTGGTCTCGTGTGTATGCCGGAAGAGTTTTTTATTGCCTGGAGGAAAGACCGTGTGGAGAGGTTAAAAGAGAAGGAACAAGCAATGGAAAAGGAGGTCGAAGCTACTGAACTGTTAACCTCGAAAATCAAGATGGATGTAATTGCTCAGAATGACTACTCGAAACCGAGGACGGTTTCGTTTCAAGGCGGAGAGGATGATAGGACCAGTTTTAATTGTAGTCGGATCAATGACTACAACAACGTACAAGCTACCCACCAGGATCAAGTTACCGCCGTTCCATTAGTTCAAGAATTAGTTGAAGTTACATGCATGCATACTATGGTATTAGCAGAGACGCACTCGTTTAGGAAAGAGAAAAATAAGACGTTGGACGTGCATGCATTACGTGAGGAGAGGTACATGTGCGTACAGCCATGCATGCATAAAAAACTTGAAGCCTTGAGTTACGATGGTAGAGCTAACATGGCCAGACACGTCGATGGAGATAATTTGGAAGGATTTAAGTTTGAGTATTACGAGAAGATAGCATCACATTCGTTCAAACGGAAAAGGAGCAGTCGTCGTTGTATACTATTTCTATTTCTGCCATGTAAAGAGTTTGCACGATGGAAGACTTGTAAATTGTTACGTGATAGGTTCTTTTTGTGCGACTTGGGCTGGAGTCCACCTCCATCTAATCAGATCAACATGGCATACCAGATTTTCGTTTATATAATAAAATTCTGCCGAGATGTAAAAGGCAAATATAGAGTTGTCTAGTTTGTTTACGCATAGTGTTTTCTTGCTTTCTAAGTCTAGGTTTAGTAGGCTATTATATAGAGCCAGGTACGTCCATGTAAAACGCAGGTTATATTTTGATAATAAACACGATGTGTTTTTAGGGTAGACACCCGTATCGAGTTTTGGGGGAAGCTGTCTAAAAATCCCTAAGTTTTGGAGGCAGATTTAGAAAACCTCTGTTGCGATTTCTGCGAGGAAATTGTTTTGCGCGTGAGTACCGTCGTCGTGATTTGTTTTCTCGTGCTGGACCGTCAGGTTCAATCCCTCTATTTTGCGTACATCGCGTGCGTGGGCGAGAGGTTACTACTGCTGAAGGTGGACTGTCGTGAAAGATTGAGCCGCAACAACAGATCGGATCTCGCCATCGAGGTTCGGTCCATATCAGGTGGTATCAGAGCATCAGGTTGTTCACGGCACTATGGAGAAGATGACAAGCACGTCATTATTAAGAAAGCTAAGCTATGAATTTCAGTTGGAGGAGGAAGGCTGTTGGACCGGACTTTTTCATATTCGTATTGTGGTGAGAGAAAGATCATGTGCCATGACGATCGATCACATGAGTTTGATCAACGTTGCAAGCATTGAGATGGTGACAAAGTTGGAGCTACGCACAACACCGCTACCACAACCATACTTATTGCGTTGGGGTAATGGAGATCTCGCTGTCACTCAACAAACGAAGGTACCGTTTTTGTTGGGAATTTTTTTCTGTGAGGTCTTGTGTGACGTGATACCGGTGTCGATGATTTCGTGTCACATATTGTTGGGAGAGCCATGGTATAAGGAATATCGTGCTACATATGACCATCTCACATACATGTATCATACCAATGTGGGTAAGAAGTGTGGTCTCGTGTGTATGCCGGAAGAGTTTTTTATTGCCTGGAGGAAAGACCGTGTGGAGAGGTTAAAAGAGAAGGAACAAGCAATGGAAAAGGAGATCGAAGCTACTGAACTGTTAACCTCAAAAATCAAGATGGATGTAATTGCTCAGAATGACTACTCGAAACCGAGGACGGTTTCGTTTCAAGGCGGAGAGGATGATAGGACCAGTTTTAATTGTAGTCGGATCAATGACTACAACAACGTACAAGCTACCCACCAGGATCAAGTTACCGCCGTTCCATTAGTTCAAGAATTAGTTGAAGTTACATGCATGCATACTATGGTATTAGCAGAGACGCACTCGTTTAGGAAAGAGAAAAATAAGATGTTGGACGTGCATGCATTACGTGAGGAGAGGTACATGTGCGTACAGCCATGCATGCATAAAAAACTTGAAGCCTTGAGTTACGATGGTAGAGCTAACATGGCCAGACACGTCGATGGAGATAATTTGGAAGGATTTAAGTTTGAGTATTACGAGAAGATAGCATCACATTCGTTCAAACGGAAAAGGAGCAGTCGTCATTGTATACTATTTCTATTTCTGCCATGTAAAGAGTTTGCACGATGGAAGACTTGTAAATTGTTACGTGATAGGTTCTCTTTGTGTGACTTGGGCTGGGGTCCACCTCCATCTAATCAGATCAACATGGCATACCAGATTTTAGTTTATATAATAAAATTCTGCCGAGATGTAAAAGGCAAATATAGAGTTGTCTAGTTTATTTACGCATAGAGTGTTTTCTTGCTTTCCAAGTCTAGGTTTAGTAGGCTATTATACAGAGCCAGGTGCGTCCATGT